GTGATCACCCTTGCTTCTATTTTCTTTTTCTAGTTTTTATTTTCAGTAGTTCTTGCTCAAATCTAAATTTCGATTGTCCACATAATTAGGGAAGACTATGGTTCTAATACTTATTTTGTTAAATCCCCATGGGAACGATATTTTTATACTACTTGATAACTAGTACACTTGCTAGGGTTATATTTATAGCTATCAATAATAATAATAATAATAATAAGTATTAATAATAAAATATTAAGACTATATAATTAAAGTAATTATAAATTAACAATTCAAGAAATAATAATAAAACATTAGTAATTAAATAAGAAATTATTGTGAAAGTAAGAATATGATAATAATAATAATAATAATAGTAAAATAAGAATATAGTAATATTTAAAATGAAATATAAATAAAATGTTAAGAAAACAATAGTACTATAATGAACTACTAAAAAGTTAACAATAAAAAGCAAAGATATTATTTATTAAATAATAATCATAATAATAATAAATAATAATAAAATATTATATAATATAATTAAGGTGATATTAAAATTCTTATATATTAATTATTAATAATAAATTAATTTTAAAATAATAAGCAAAAATAATATAATATAATAAAATAATAATATTTTGATAAATTAATGGTACTAACTAAGATATTATTTTTTAAATATTAATAATAATAATATAATACTAATAATAATAATAATAATAATAATAATAATAATAAATAGACTTAGGCAAAATTAAAAGTTTTCATTTGATTCTGATTCAAACTCCAAATGAACCAAATAACAACAATTGGAATCCGATTCTAATTTTGGACTGAGTCAAACAAGTATCAAGAATAAGTGATTCTAATTCTAATTCAGATATTCTCTGCAAACCAAACAGGCCCTAACGAAGCCTTAAAAAGATTCCCTCAACTTCTTGTTTCTCTTATTTTCCATCAAAACAATGTATAACAGTATTACAAATGGTTTTTTTTTTTTTTTGGTTTTTTGAAAGATAGTATTACAAATGGTTTAGGTCTTATGTCCTTGTCCACTTGAATTAAGCCTTAGTGATGGTCTTTTAAGCTAACTAGCCCTTCCCTTTTTTCTTCCTTGTTTGAAGCTTCAGATTCGGGTCACTAATAAGTCCGCTTATTAGGTGTTCAGCTTCCAGCACGAATCTTGCTCCCAGCACGAAACTTAGAATAGGCCCTGTTTTGGTGTTCAGCTTCCAAAACAGGCCCTTTTTTCTTCCTTGTCCACTTGAATCTTGCTCCCAGCACGAAACTTAGAATACAAATAAAGATTAATATGAGGCCACGTGTCAGACATACATGAACTTACCATGTATATTCAATGCCGCGTCTTCCGAGCATGACAATGAAAGCTTCAACATTGATATAAACCAGAAATGGATGTTTTCCATGGAAGAAACTACTTTTTGTCTTTGAAATCCCTTGTTCACATGGAAAATAAAGTATTCTTATATAAGCCAACCAACCCCGTTTGTTTATTCTTTATTAGGTGTTTATTAGGTGTGGAAGGTCAGCCACTCATGCCTCACCTCCCCGACAAAAAGCTTCCTAAGCAAAAACACTGATACAATAATGCCATAAAGTCAAACAAGTTTTTTTTTTTTCTTTGAAAAAAGTAAAATTACAGACTACCACTCTGATTTTTTGGGTGGTCATATTTAGCCCTCGAGCATTCATTTGTCAAAATTATTTACAGAGAATGATGGTTCAGCCCAAGGTCAGAATTTTTAGGCCCAAAGTACAGTTGGAGTAGGTGTTAGCTAGAATTGATGACAATTCACAAGTGGGCATATTGATGTATAGAATGGGGGTTTTTAACATTTTGAATGTTTATAAATCTATAGTAAAATTCAAAAATTTGCATTGGGCCTATTCATACTTTTCCGAAATATCTATTGTGAAGTTTTAAGTGCCCATTTGGAAGGATTTTTCTGCAGCGGATTCTAGTGTTTACAAGATAAACCCCACATGGAAAGCCGGGAAATTGTGTTTAATAAAACCTTTGGAAAGCTAAAAAAATACAGTTGTTGAGGTGAAAAATCAACTTTCCGGTAAAGCTAGTTTTGATAGCTTCTTTAAAGCAGTTCAATATTAACGTAGAAGCCCTCTCAAATAGACTCTAAATTCCAGCACTTTGCCTATGGCGTTAGCATTTCTTTCCGTTTAACTTAGGAAAAGATTCTCAAGTAATTATTATATGCACAAGTTTAATTAGATTTTTAAAACCTAAAATTATCCTTATGTCATTTTATTAGACCATTTCATAGAAAATTGATAAAATGTAATAAAAAGTTGAAAAAATAAAGAAAAAATGAAATTGCAGATAATATAGGAATATAATCAAAAGAACAGAAAAAAAAAGAAAAAAAAAAGAGTAAGATGAGCATTTTAATGCAAAACAAAAAAGGGGTAAAATAAAAGATCACATCAGCGCCCCACATCAGACGCTCCATATACACATCTCAGCATGCATTGGGCTACGGGAGATGTTCCACGGTTGGGATGTGTTGTGGAGCCTTATATCAGTGGGGTGCGCCCTGTGGGGCACTGATGTGAGCTTCAATAAGAGATACCTTATTTTGCCATGCCTTTTTCTATTTAAATATTAACTCATTGAATTTCAAATGGGCATTTTAATAATTTAACCTTTACCCTGAGCCCATTAATGGAACAATTCCCTATTTGAAAGTTCAGGGTGGTCATTGTTATAGATAAAGTTTGAAAGGCTAAAATGTCACTTTCCTCTGTATTCGGAGTGGTAGTTTGTAATTTTTTCTTCATTTGGGTAAATCTGTTAAAGATTTAAACCTCCCCTAAGATTTCTCGTAAATATTTAAACATTTTCTCATCTTTCAATTTGCACTTAAACCTCCCATCCGTCAGTTTTCCATCCATATCTATTAGCAAGTAACATTATATGCAATTTAAGATTTTTTGAAAAATCCAGTTTTGCCCTTTATTAAATTATTACCCATTTTTTCCTTTAAGAAAACTTGCCCCTTTAATTAGTTGTCTAAACATAAACAAAAGCCTTCCCTTTTCCTGCAACTTCCTCAACATAAAATGTAAGAAGAAAACCCGTCGTCCTTTCTTTTCTTTACACCGTGAATGTCTAACCTAAACAAAACCCTTCCTTTTCCAGCAGCTTCCTCTACATAAACTGTAAGAAGAAAATCAGTCATTCTTTCTTTCTTTTTAACAATCAGTGGCTAAAGATGTAGATTACCATCATCAACGATTGGGGCCATTGTGCACAACTCTTTGCAAAGAATGAAACTAATTAATAAGGAAATTGTAATTGGATAAGATAAAGCAGCAGGAAAACAAAGAAGTCTTAGATAAAAGGACGGCTTGTGAATATAATAATGGAAGAGAAGGAAATAGCAATGGAGAGCGTTCATTTTCTTGCTGAGTACTTAAAAGGAAATAGCTGAAATTTATTAAAAAAATGAATATGAAATTACAGCTATAGATTTCCAAATTTGTATCCACTCAAACAGTACAATATAATCAAAATGTAAAAACCCATAATACATTCTGATTTTCTCATAGAGATAAAGAAGAACTATAATGATCTTTTTATGTTTGCAAGTTCTGATTGGAAAAACCCAAGAGTTGTATAAATGACAGTCAAGTTTTCACTATTTCAATGTTAAAGACAATTAGGTTTTTTTTCCCTTCGACCCATTTAATCCTAAATTTTATTTTGGGGTATATTAGCCATTTTTTTTCTTCCTTAAAGAAAGGGTTTATGAACCTGACACGGGAAGTCTAAGTCCAATTTGAAAGACGAAGGGGTGATTCAGTGTTTAGGAGAAATTTTAGGGGAGGTCTAAGTCAAAAAAAAAAAATCTGCAAGTATAAAAAGCTCATGGATTGATCTATTTAACAATGCGCCTCCATTAGAAGCGAAAGATTGCGGTAGTGGTGTAGGCCATTTCCATTAGCTAGAGACTAGCAATGGCTGATCATCAGAGAATCCACCCAGTCGATCTTGAAGCGCGCCCCACAGCGCCATTAATGTCCCGTGACTCGTCAAGATCGGAGAAAGGTGACCCCCTTCAACATGACTTCCCTCCTCCGCCTCTCAGGACTTTTCCGGTGAGCCACTCAAAGCCACCGAAGAGGGGTAATTGTTGCTGCAGGTACTTGTGTTGGACGTTCTGTCTCCTCTCACTTGTGGTCATCTCCGTCTCAGTTGCCGGCGTCATTCTTTACATCGTCTTCCAACCAAAGATCCCACAATACTCCATCGATCGCCTGAGTATCACAAGTTTCCAACTCAACTTTGATGGAAGCCTTCACGCTCAGTTCGACGTTACAATCACGGCGAGGAACCCGAACGAGAAAATTGGAATATACTACGAGGATGGAAGCCAGCTTAGTGTTTATTACACAGACGCTAAGCTCTGTGAAGGGTCTCTACCAGTGTTTTATCAGGGTCACCGGAACAAGACTGTTCTTGTCGTAGCCTTGACGGGTCAGGCCCCAGATGGAAGTACCTTGATGTCGGCATTGGCAACGCAGCAGCAGACTGGGAGAATACCGTTGAATCTTAAAGCCAGAGTGCCGGTGAGAGTGAAGCTTGGGGAATTGAAGCTGAATAAGGTGAAGTTCTTGGTCAGATGCGATTTGGTGGTGGATAGTCTGACTGCCAATGGTTTGGTCAGCATCAGAACCAGTAGCTGTAAGTTTGGATTGAGGCTTTGAATTCTTTGTTAAATAATTCCTGTTTTTCTTTTTCTTTTAGATTAATTAGATGGTTGATTCATTTTCCCTAAGAGATGTGGAGATTTGTTTGTTTCCACACCATTCATGTACTCCTTATTATACTGATCAGTAGTATTGGGATTCATTTGTCGGGAAATCTATCAGTGACAGACAGTTGTTCTTGTATGAAAAACATATTTCTTGAGGTAGATAAGATTAATTACCATTAGCTGCCAACCTCGTTGCAGAAAGTGCTGCCTGAAACTGCATGAGCTATGCTCCTCCGTCCAATTTATTGTTGTAGAGTAGGAAGCGTTAGAGAATAAAAATCTATTCAAAAACTTCATCTAACAGTTTAAGTGTTTATGTTGAATGGTTTTTCTTGAGATGGTTTGAGAATTTATTTGAGCAAATGGTCTAGTGTTCAATTATTGTTATCTCCCTATATTTTTACAGGCTTTTGTGAAAGGAAGTATTTGTTTATGTTTAACGCATCGATTTTCAATTGGGCTGCAAACGGACTTGATTCATTTTAAATTGGATCTTCTTCCTTCAATTTATATCTAATTTGAATTGAATTCAGATTATAAAAGGATATTGAATAGAATTAATAAATCAAACAAAAAACGATAAAAAATATATTATTAATAAAATAAAACAAAAAATTAGTTCAATATTGTATATCATAATTAAAATTAATGCAATCTGATGTGGGATGGCCCAGCCCACGAGTGCCAGATCCAAGGACGCGACTCGCCACAACAGGGGCTACCCTACTCCCCTCGTACGGAGCCAGTCACGGAGTCCCCACGCGTCCTCGTAAAGCCCACTGACCGCCCTCGTATGGCTCCCATCTCAGGCATTCATCTCCACCAACCTCCAGGCGGCTCAAGTATAAATATGGGGTACCCCCCTCCAGGTGAGGGATCCTGATCCTACTACGGAACTTAAGTACATTCATCTTGGGAACTCAGGACCTATGAGTTGTCTCCTCAGAGCCCTCGTCTGCACCTGATTCCTCTTTTTGTACCCTCGCACAAACTTGACTGTTGGAATCTCCTCCTCTGGTTCTCACCCGGGGCCTCTGACATCCTCTGTCTTATAGCACCTCAGCTACCAGCCTTCAGCTTCTATGGAATTCGGCTCACAATCTGCCTCGGCCTACAGACCTTAGCCTTGGCACAACATCTCCGGACCATTGAAGCCTTCAGCCCACCTCCAAAGCCTAGGGGCGAAATTATTTTGTTGTCCTCGGCCAATCCAAGCATCAACAATTGACACCGTCTATGGGAAACGTTGCTAAGACGATCCCCTAAAGAACTTTCACAAACCAAGAAGTCCCTAAGCTCAGAACACCATGGTACGAAGAACCAAGAATACTCAGAACCTTATCACTAATGAACACTTCCAGGCTGTGCTCGACCACCTTGAGTATTTAACTAGCGAGTTGAACAGAACTACCCTCAGGCAAGAGGTCCCCCTCAGGTTGACCGCCCCGCAGGGGCATCCGCGCAACCGGGCCGGCATGGGTCTACGGGCCAGCCAGCAATCGGCCTCGGCCACGTGCAACAAACCGATCCCTTCGAGTCTAGCAGCAATCACCCCGCCAGCCTGCATCCCAGGAACTCCAGACCTCCCAACCGAAGGGAGGAGGAACCAGCACAATCTGAGGATAGCCGCTAGCCCTCCGAGCAGCATCATCGGCGCCGAAGGGCAAACTTGAGGGACGAAGGCGAGCGTCGCGGTCGCCCCAGTGCCCACTCTCGGGCCAAGGGCCGACGTCGAGCTTCTTCTCCTCACGTTTTGGATCTCTGAGACGTCCTTAACGACCGTCGCGCTAGCTGTGAGGCACATAGTCTCACCTCAGAATGCTCCAGAGTCTGCATCGACCTTCACCGCGACTTCAAAGACCGGGATGGCATGCAGGCCATGCCCAACCCTTAGTTCATTGAACTGCGAATAGAGCTCGGTGCTATCAAAGCCGAGCTCCAACAAGTCAAGGAGGGCCGAACTAACACCTCAGCTAGACAAAGTAACTCCATGGGGAGAATGGATGCCTTCTCCCCCGACATCATCACCGAGCCATTACCCCCACACTTCAAAGCTCCCACCTTGGAGATGTACGACGGGAACACAGACCTGGACGACCACCTAGAGAGCTTCAGGGCAATCATGATCCTATACGGATACTCCAACGCCTTGACGTGCCAAACTTTCCAGGCAACCTTCAGGGGAGCTGCCCGACGGTGGTTCTCAAGCCTCCCACCTTGGACCATTAACTCGTGGGAGCAGTTCTCCAGCCGGTTCCTCGCCCACATCATCAGCAGCCAACGTCCCCAAAAGAGTGTTGTCTCGCTAATGGCAATCAAGCAGAAGCAAGGAGAAAGTTTTCATTTGTACATTGATCACTTCAAGAAGGAAGAGTTTGAGGTCCACGACCTCGACCCCATGGTTTCCATGCACACCGCCATCGGCGGGCTCCTCCTCGGCTCGGCCCTCAAATGCTCGATTGCCAAAAGCCAGTCGAAGACGAAACTGGAGTTC